AAAAAAAAAAAAAAAAAAAAAAAAGGAGTGTTATGTTCGGCGATGCGGAATCCAGTGCCATGCATGATGTAACGTCTTGCTTTAAAAAAAACCAGACTCGCTGCAGCGGACAAACAACTGGTCAGGCCTGTTGGATTCCATGTAAAATCACTGTAAAATGTTAAGAATTTCTSGTATAACCGGTTATCGATGTAACTAGTTTTATTTGAGAGACTAAATGATTTAATGAATAAATCAAATTCAACTGTTTCTTCTGAGTGAATTCTTTCTGTCCCCGAGGTCACTTTTCAGAATTTTATTGTTATTGATAAATATGCATGTCTATTCTTGTTGTTCCGAACTAATAATTTCGCTTTCATCACCTATTAGTGTAGCTATTTTTAAATGCGAGCTTTGACATTTATTTGTTTACTTGAATGTGCTCATTGTTTCTTTTTCACTCTTGGACAAGACGTTAAACTAATGGCATATCTTAGTCTATCAAAAGGAACGATTTAAATATCAATTTCCATAAATTTGGGAAATCCATAAACGAGAATTATTTGTTTCTTGCATCTTAACTTTAGTATAATGTATTAAGCTCCTTAGTTTATGTAGACCTGAAATGAAATTAGAAACCTTTTCGTATACTTTTATATTTTCCGCTTTTGAAAAAGGGCGATTAAAGATGTGGCAATCAGTACACCGGCGGTACCCGATTGAAATTTCAACTTCAGCATATCTTGGTATCTGTTAGGGTATCTCTTAGGGGTTAAAGATTGTCCAACCAAACCCTTTTAAAAAGACGGTTGGTATCTTTTATAGGTATCCTTGAAAATTTCCAACGAGTATACCCGATACTTTTACCACGGATAACCCCTCCCCCCGGGTGTTGTCGCTGATTGAAATTGAATGCCATGTAACTCTTTCGCCTGTTTGAAGTACGTATTCAAACTTTACAATACGCACTTGTCCTAATATAAAAATAGATCTGCAATTAAAAATTTAAGAGATTTTGAAAATCATTTTAGAAGACATTTGTAATGTGTAACATATTTCTATACTTATCTATTTTGGTCAGCGTTTGGTTTGCTTGAATTTGGTAATTAGGCAGGACACTTTGAAACAAAAGGTTACGATGCCGGATACAAGAAAATCGCCTTTTGTTAAATGCTTATATCTTAGCTTTTTTTCCGGTTTTTTTAAATCGGCTTCTTTTGATTATTTTGACAAGCGAAGAAAAATAAATTCTAGAACGCAGTGATACTTAAAACCGAGTTTGAGAACCCTTCATTTTTGAGTGCAAAAAATGAACAAGTTGAAACATATTTGTTCTTTCTTTTCATTCCTTGCTTATGCACGTGCCTATGGAATGTCACGGAAACGCATTGATTGACGTCCATCAAAACTTCATCACGATGGCACATTCTCTACTTTCACATCCCCATAATGCCTTGCGCCTTTGGGGGGTAACCAGAGGGTAAAAACCCACTTATTTTGCTGAAGGCTGATCACACAATGTTGACAATACCTTGTTTGGTATCCAAAAATAAAATGAAGAAGTAAAAAACAAAAAAAAAGGTAGAAGCTTGAAGACGTTTAAGGTATATTTTAAACATTTTTTCGTAAGGCAATACATTTTCTGTAAGACCAAAACTCTAGATGATCTGTACACGCAAAGATAACTTGGAATAAACTGATAATCAGTATTGTACAGATAAAAGCAGGTATAGTATAAATTCAATTAAGAAACCTTTGAATTTGGGACAGTTTTTTGATTGGCTACCCCCCAAAGACGCAAGGCATTATGGGGATGTGAAAGTAGAGAATTGTACGATTCCATGCGCGTGATTGAGAAGCTGTAAATGAAAAAATTGATCTTTTGGAAACCTTTTTTTGGACGGGGTACTTCGCTTACAAATGTTAGTAGAAAGGACGATTAAGCTAAAAGTACATGTGCAGTTTATTGAATAAAAATCACGAAATGATAATAATAAATAAATTCTAATAAATAGTAAATAAAATATAATTTAACGATATACTTAGGGTGAAGGCATTTAACCCGTGAAATAAAAAATACTAGTCAACGTGTAATAGTAAAATAGACACAAAAGAAAAACTCTATATGATATATTGTATAACTGAACAGGGTTGAGTGCAATTTGGAAATTGTGAATCTTGTGAAATATTGCTCGGTTCGTGTGTCGATTCCAGTATAGACTCCGTTTTAGAGATATAATGTTATCACTTTACCCTTATTTTTTGTGTTGTCAAGGTTCAGACGTGAGTGCCTTATCTGGAAGCAAATCAGCTAGCAGTGTGTATCGGACGTCCCGGCCATCGAGGGTGTACTCAGCTTCCCATGGTGTTCTTAACTACCAGGGATCCACTGGGGGATGGAAAGCAGGACAAAACAGAGTTAATGAATATCTACAGGTATGCTAGTACAGTAATAATAGTATGAAAAGAAAGAAAGGAGGAAGAAAGCCAGACTGAAAGAAAGAAAAGAAGAAAGAAAGAAAGGAAGGAAAAAAGGGAAAAGAAAAGGAAAAAAAGAAAGGTAAGAAGGGAAGGAACGAACGAAAGGAAGGAGCGAACGAACGAACGAACGAACGAACGAACGAACGAACGAACGAACGAAAGAACTAGCGAGCGAGCGAGCGAGCGAACAAGCGAACGAACGAACGAAACGAGGGA